TTTATATATATATATATATATAAACAAAAGTACGAATGACAAAAAAACCTGCAAAATTACTGATTCAAATATTAATAAAAACTGTAGTAGTATCTCAATGATCCTAAAATCACACTAAATACTACAAATACTAGATGCTGAAATTGTCAGGGCGAGTAGAAATGGACTGGATCAGCAGAGAACAATCCAGAAAAGCTCTTTCTGTAGCACAGGATGTGTTTTGGGTGTATTGACTGGCTCTGCTGTTGTTCCAGCGGACTCCACCGGCTCTCACTCGCTCTACACCACCTATAAAGACTATGAGCTGATGTTCCACGTGTCCACACTCCTGCCCTACACTCCCAACAACAGACAGCAGGTGCGGCTCAACTACACTTACACTCCTTATGCTAATCAGCTCTGTTGTGATTGGCTAATGACTTCACATTCGGCCTTCTGATCAGCCTGATGGGATTTCTTGTGTAATAATGACTGTACATGGTATTAACCATGATATGTCCTCTTTATCAGATACTACCATTGTCTGGCAGTCACTTTTGGCCCACAGCCATTATTTATTTATTTAGTTAGTTAGTTATAAGCCCCATGCTCTTTGGTACGTTCTCAAATCATGCTGAAGAACATGATCATCAGGTTTTGATATTAATATGCGGTAGTTGATGTAGCACTTCCCAATATATATTAAATCTGATTATGTATTTATAAATTAAAATATATATTTATTAATCTAAGTATGTGAAAGTAAATATGAATATGGAAGTATTTTTAATTATTATTTCTTCCCTCTTTTTAACAATATGTTAGATTTTTTCCCCCCTCAGTCCCCCCAATTATAATTTATAATTATTTCTTACTATATATTCTGAACTATATATTAGCATCCCCCCCCCCCCCCGGATAATATGTTTGACTTTTTAAGGTTTGAACGGTTTATAATTATTTCCAGCATATACTGTATTCTGCATATAGTTTCTTTTTAATTATTTCCTGTTTTGTCTCCATTATTTGTTTATTTTCTTTTTTTATTTTGTTTTGTTTTGTTTTTAAATCGTGTGCATGTGCATTTTAAAGCATTTACTTCTTTTTGGTGAAGAAAACAAAATAATATGTAAAAAAATAATAATAATTCAATAGAATTTTGACACTCAAAGACTGCAGACTTCACTTTTGTTAAAAGTCTGGATTTAATTTGAAACTGTAATTAAGTCAAATTTGGTAAATGCATTAACAGCATTAAAAGTAATGGCATTAAATATATTTGATATGTTTTATATAGCATAATATGTTTATAGTCTATCAAATGCATTAACTTCAGCTGCGTGTGTCTTGACTGGAGCCGTGTCGCTGTCACTTACATCTCTTGACAGTCGATTGGCAGGATTAGAGGATTTTCTGTCTTTTTCTTCTCCAACTTCAATTCTATTCGAATGCGCAGGATTAGTGAATAAATCCCTGTCCGTAAGCTTCCAGAAGACTCGGGCACAGTTCAGCCTCTCATCTTCTCATCCACCCATAATCCTGTTTGTCACCCTTGGCCACTCACAGGAAGGCAGGCTCGGGGTTAATTGAATATTATGAGTTCCTCACTCCGTTGCTTTATCAAATATCTTTGAGATATGAAGGGCTGACTGTGCTAAAAATCTCTCCAGATTCTGATATTGTACTTATGGATGAGCTTAAGAGATTTTAAGTAGTCTTTCACAGCGTCTGCATGAGTCTTTTGTGCCATTTATTGTGCCAAGATTATGCCAGATGGCACATTGCTGACGATTATTTTAGGTTTTTTATGTATTAATAGCTCTTATATGTTTAATCTGTTTCTTTTTGCTGTGAAAATTTTTTTTTTTTTTGGCTTTTGATTTGGAGGACAAACATATTTTTAGCAACACAAAATTATTATCATTGTTAGTAGTAGTAGAAGTAGTGTTAGTATTAGTATTATAGCTTTTTATTTATTTATTTTACTCTCATTTTGCGCTTGGCAAGTGTTAATTTTGCGCTATTTTTAGGAACATAAAATTATTTTTGTTGTTATTATTATTATTAGAGTTTTTTTTCCCACTATTTTAGCAACATAAAATTATTGTTGTTGTTATTAATATAATAATAATAATAATACATTTAATTTATTTTCAGAATTGTAGCTATTAGTAGTAGTAGTAGAGTTTTTAATTATTTTTTCACTATTTCTAACAACCTAAAATAAATAATTTTTAACAACATAAAATTATTATTATTATTATTATTATTATTAGAGTTATTATTATAGTTGTTCATTTATTTTTCACTATTTTTAGCAACATAAAATTATTATTATTATTATTATTATGTTCCACTCTGTTAATTTTGGGCCCTGGTTACAAAAGAGAATTGAAAATGTCATTTTCGGTTATTTTTCGGTCATCAGAGTTTCATTTAGTACATATTAGCCGAAAGTGAAATGGATTGTTATGTCACCTTTTTTCAGGGCACTTTGAAGCTGGTGGATTTGTTACTACACAGTGTCACCTCACTTCCTGTTCCTGTTCTTGCTAATGATGCAAAAGCTGCTGTTTGACCTGTCCTTTGAATAAACGGCACACACCGAGTCCATTCACCTCTGTTCTTTCTCGTCTCACCAGTTGCTCAGAAAGAGACACATAGGAAATGACATCGTCACCATCGTGTTTCAGGAGCCCGGTGCCTTGCCCTTCACACCCAAAAACATCCGCTCCCATTTCCAGCATGTGTTCGTCATCGTTAAAGTTCACAATCCGTGCACTGAGAACGTCTGCTACAGGCAAGTGAACCAGATGCCTTTGATTTACACTGTAAATTATGATCGCTATGATAGCTGTTAAGAGAAATGAAGTGATTTCATTTACCTTTGATGTCTGTTACTGTGAAGAGAAAAATATTAATGAAGCTTAAATGCTGGAGAACTTACAGGAATCGATCTTGTGTCAATGCTTGGCTTGCCTGTAATTGTAAATCGCCTGTAGTTTTTGATCTTCTGTTTAAAAGCAGTGCCAAAGGCTGTTTGGGACGTTTAATTATTGCAATTAAAGACTAAATTATGTCATAATTTACTCATCCTCATGTCGTTCCAAATAACCGTGGAACTCAAATGGAGAAATCTGGTTTGTGCAGCTCTTTTCCATGTAATGAAACCTACAGTAACCAGTGGCTGAAAAGCCCAGAAATGGACAAAAACGCATGAAAGTAAAGTGAGGACTCGAACCCGCAATCTTTGGGTTATGAGTCTGACTCTCTAACCATTAGGCCACGACTTCCCCATACAAATGTAGTCTATATGACTCCTACTCTATATATTATACGTCTTCTGAAGTCATACTGTAGCTTTATGTTAGGAACAAAGCTAATTTTAAGTCAGTATTCACTGATAATCTTCTCTCCACGTCTCATGTTGTTATTGTTAACTAAAACAATGAAAAATTATTATTTTTGGTCATTGAAATAAAGCTGAAAAATAAAACAGAATGTAAAATAAAATAAATAAATAAATAAATAATGAAAAAAATTACCTTGTAACCCCCGTCTTGGCAACTGAAATAAGTTTAAGCTGAAATACTGAAAATTAATCGGATCAAATTTAATTTTTTATTTTTCACATACATGCAGGGAACTGCTTTTTATGACCACTCAGCTACATTAAAATAAAAATGGTAAGAAATTTAAAAGTTGAATAATAAAACTAGAATATAGGAATAAAATTATTTACAATATATAATACAAATAAAAACTAATAAAAATGACAAAAGCACAACTAAATTACAAAAGCTGAAATAAAATGAAAATATTAGATGAAAAACTACAACTGAAAAAAAAAAGCTTAGGAAAAAAAATTAGGAATGTTGCAAAAAAAATTATAAATGTTGCCTAAATTGACGAAAACTGAAGCAAAAATAAATGAGCTAGTAAAATAAATAAGCTAAAAAATATAAATTATAAAAATTATAAAAGCATATAAAATTAAAAAAAAAAATATATATATATAATATTATAAAAATAATAATATAAAAATAAAGCTAAATATATAAAGAAATGCTTAATAAATACTATAATAGTATACAAATAATATTATAATAACACTGGCCCTGTTGTAGCTCTTCTGTCTCATTGGTGACAGCAAATGCTGTTGCTTTTCGTGACTGAACGTGCAGCATAAAAGTCTGAAAGTTTGAATATTGTTTCACTTGTGTTTCCAGTGAATAAAGACTTATATTTCAGTCTGTTTATCATGAAACTCTATTGGAGAATCTATCATATGGACTACTTTTATGATGCTTGTTTTGTTATTTTTGGAGTTTGCCAGTTCATGTTCACTGCTGCTTTCTTTGTGAAAGATCTGCATGAACTTTCTTCAAAATTTCTCTTTTTTTTTTTTTGTTTCACGGAATTAGAATATTTTTTAAAATGTTTTCAGATCTGTGAAGTGCATCTCGTATTGTTTTGCATTAGTTAAACTGGTCATTCAATCCCTCGTTGTGGCCCTTGCAGTGTTGCGGTATCCAGATCGAAAGACGTGCCTCCGTTCGGTCCTCCCGTTCCTAAAGGCGTGACCTTTCCCAAGTCAGCCGTCTTCAGGGACTTCCTGCTGGCCAAGGTGATCAACGGGGAAAACGCGGCGCACAAATCGGAGAAGTTTCGCGCCATGGCGACCCGCACGCGGCAGGAGTACCTGAAGGACCTCGCGGAGAACTGCGTGAGCACGACGACGATGGACTCTGCGGTCAAATTCAGCTTCATCACGCTAGGGGCCAAGAAGAAGGAGCGGGTGAAGCCGCGGAAGGACGCTCATCTCCACAGCGTGGGCGCCGTCACGTGGAGCATGGTGGCGCGGGATTTCGGCCAGTCGGCGGACGTGGAGTGCCTGCTGGGGATTTCCAACGAGTTCATCGTGCTGATCGAGGTGGAGTCCAAGAACGTGATTTTTAACTGCTCCTGTCGGGACGTCATCGGCTGGTCGTCTGGCATCATGAGCATCAAGATCTTCTACGAACGCGGCGAGTGCGTGATGCTTTCCGCGCACGACAACTGTGGAGAGGACATTAGAGAGATCGTACAAAGACTTGAGGTAAGAGCAGTGCTGTTTTCTAACAATTTCTGTGGTGTGGTCACATTTACCACTGCTTGGCGAAATTTCGTGAACAAAATCCAGGCATTTTGTTATTTTTGTTGTCAAATGTAAGGGCCTGCAGTAATGCAGTTTGACCAGTGTGGCGCTGTAGCGCAAGACTGTAATTCAGCTCTCCTTTATGCAAATACAATAGAAGACGACACACACAACGCTTATGAGAGTTGGAGTGTCACTGCAGCCGAACCAGACGCTGCTGAGAGCGGCATTTAGATGAATATGTAAATATGTGCTGCGCGCTTTCCTCTCAATAACGAAATAAACACACAACAAAAATGAGAGCGGTGAGAAAACAGCAGTTAAGAAAGCATCTGATTACAGCGGTGTGGATAAGTTTGCACCAGCTCTGCAATTCAGCACTCCAGTCACGTCATGTTTATTTATATAGCGCTTTATACAGTAGATTGATTTAAAGCAAGCAGCTTTACAGTATAGACCAATTTCAGTGTTTGCAAACAGTGATGACGTTTTTGTGGACGGAGCCTATCTGGTGGCAGAAAATGGCAGTTTTAACGTAGCAGTCTATTCAAGCCATGGAATAAAATAATACAAAATTAAATTTTGAGTTTATATTTCAAAATTCTGACTTTTTTCTTGCAATTCCGAGATTATATTTCACAATTCTGGTAAGAAAAATCAACTCGTCATTCTTTCTTTTTAGTTTATAATCCCACACTTCTGCCTTTTTTTCCTCAGAATTGACAAACTCGCAATTGTTGAGTTGAATAAAGTTATAAAGTCCGAACTAGGAGATATAAACTTGCATTAGCAAGAAAAAAAGTCAGAATTGTGAGATAAAATAGGTAAATGTTATGTAAAATGTTATAGGTTTAAATAGTATTTAATTCATGTATTTCAACTGTAGGGCTAATACAATATGTCCCCTATATGAACATTATATAGACCTATTGTTCGTCTGCGTTTAGCTTCAAATGGCGTCTTTGACTACAGTGTTATATAAAAATTATTTGCATTCCGATTCTGACATCCAAATGCACAACAATCAATTTTTTCTCTTATTCCATGGATTTTACCCGTTTCCCTCCACATGTTCCCAGTGTTTTTCTGCCACCACAATGCGTGCGCAGCTGCAAGTGACGTAACTGTGACATCTACTCCAAATTGGTCTATTAAACATGAAAAAACAGTGTGAGTGTTGCTTTCAGTTAGAATTACAACTTGATTTTCTGCATTTTATAATTATATAAGTCATTAACATAAATTGACAATCCTCACGCAGGCAAATATTTTTGTTTAGTGTCTATTGATGTAATGGTATAAATAAATATAAATAATATAAATATAAAATTAATATCCTGAATTTATTTAGAAAGAAATATGTCTAATCAGTAATCACACTCAGGACATAAATGGACATAATTAATTTAGTAATTATTGATGTTGTACAGCAGAAATTGAATTAATGAAATTCAGTGGCTATGTGAATTTCTTTAAATTACAATAAAGTAAATAATTTTTTCCCCATTCAAATTCAGTCAAATTCAACATACTGTGGATGTGACCAGTTCAATTAAAATTCATGAATTCAAAGGCTTATATATGTTTTATTAATTCATAATTTTGCCCAACCCTGACTGATAAGTTTAAGTGATTAATAACAATAAATTATAAAATGGTAATAAATATTTGATTTACCATTAACATCGTCAGTGCTGGAATTTGTGGATTTGTTGGGTGTTAAAACCGAGCTTGTGCTGTTTTGTGAACATCATGGTCAGGCTCATTAAATGAAGCGTCTCTGTCTGTGAGTGTAGAGCGAAACCCGCCGCACACCTTTAAAGTCACAGCGCCGCAGGTCAGCGCGGATGAGGGTGTCCTTGTTTCTCAGAGCCGCATGCATCCCGTGCTGTAACAGACGAGCCAAACGCAGCGCTGCGACCGTGTGTGTGTGTGTGTGAGATCTGATCTGACATCCTGTACCTGTAGAGCATCCAGCTCCTGGAGGACGGGATACATTTGCATACAGAATGAGCCAATGAATATCAAGGACGTGATAGGAGCGTTTCGCTGCTTATGCTAATTATGCCCTCTTATTTGACTTCCACTGTCTGCTTTACTATAACTCAAGCGCTGCCAGTTAGCAGTTAAAGGTGCTGGAAGTGATTTCAACATTATTTACTGGACTTGCACCGCGGTCACACTGGACTTTGAGCAAATTTCTACAGACACGACAATGAGTGTGACACAGTCTGCAGCATCTCTCTCTCTCTATATATATATATAATAATAATTCAACATACGACAAATTATAATAATTCCAAAATGGAAAAATATACATTAGCAGTCAAACGTTTGGATGACTTTTCAGAGTTTTTGAAAGAAGTCTCTTATGTTCACCAAGGCTGCATTAATTTGACCAAAAATACAGTAAAACAGCAATTTTGTAAAATGTCATTGCAATATTACTGATGCACTAGTAATATTATAACAGTAGTACATTACCATTCCAAAAGTTTGGGGTCAGTAATTTTTTTAAAAAGAAATTAATACTTTTTATTCAGCAAGGATGCATTAAATTAATCAAAAGTGACTAAAGTAATAATAATAATAATAATAGTTTTATTATTTTTTAATAATTAATATAAACAAAAAATATTTTTCTTAAATATATACATGCATGTGTGTGTTTATATAAACATAATAAATATACTAAGTACACACACATATATATATATGTAAACGAAAACTTTTATTTCTTTGGATGCGATTACTCACGATTAATCGTTTGACAGCACTATTTTCAAATTAATGCTGTTCTTTTAAACTTTCTATTCATCAAAGAGTCCTGAAAAAAAATGTGATTATACAAAATTATTAAGCTGTTTTCAACATTGACAATAATCAGAAATGTTTCCTGAGCAGCAAATCAGCATATTAGAATGATTTCTGAAGGATCATGTGACACTGAAGACTGGAGTAATGATGCTGAAAATCAGGAATAAATTACACTTTATAATATATTCACATAGAAAACAGTTATTTTAAATTGTAATAATATTTCACAATATTACTTTTTCTGTATTTTAAATCAAATAAATGCAGCCTTCTTGAGCCATTGATTTAAAAAAAAAAATGTTAGTCATCCTCATGTCGTTCCAAACCTGTTTGACGTACTTTTTTCACTGGAACATTTTGAAGAATGTTTTGCGTCCAAACCACATTGCATGGCAAAAAAACTCTTAGAGCACCTTCAGCAGGATGTGTTTTTCCAGAGGGCTGCTGGGATCTGCTGCATGTGCTCGTCTGTTCTGGATGAGATGCTGTGGTTCGGCCCAGAAGCTGTCAGAAGGCACAGGTCTGCTGTACGGCCCATCTGGGCCTCTGCCGTCCCGTTTGGCCATCTGCGGTGCACCTCAAGTCCTGGCAGTGAGACCGGGATGCCTCACATCTGCAGACTCACTATGAGCTGCTGCTTTTAGCCTCGAGTGCTGCCAAAAGTTTCAAAGAGCCCACAGTACTGTCCATGTCCTAGTATCGTTGAGCAGGTTTTCTCGCTTTACTTCTGTTTGCATGTAGATTTGGCAGATTCATGGCAGTCCTCCATCATTAAACTGTAGCGAAACCGCTTTCTCTTGCATGTTAAAGAGTTCACTGTGTGAACTGACCTTGAGTCAGAGTTTTCATCACAAGAAGACATTGTGTTGTTTATGTCTATTTTAGACGTTGTTATGCCGAGTAGCTCTGTGAATAGTGCATATGAAAGCATGTTTTTTACCTTTAATGCTATTTAATAATTAAATCCACATATATAAATAGAAAAATGTGAAAGTCTGAATGTCAGAAAAGTGTTTTTTTCACTTTTCTAGGCTGATTAGATAATACAGTAATACTTTACAATATGGTTCCATATGTTAACAATATTAAACATGAACTAACGATGAAAAATACTTGTAAATAGTGCTGGGCGGTATACCGGTTCATACCGAATACCGGTGTTTATTTTTGTTATGATATGAATTTTTAAAATACCGCAATACCGGTGTATGTCGCTTAAACAACGTTCGGAACGCGACACTGTTTGAAAGGGGTCCCTTTTCACTGTTGCACTGTGGTGAGGGAACAGCTGTATGTGTTACTAAGCGTGAAAGTTCTGAAACTGAAGCTGTAGAACTAATAGAACGTGATGACACAGAAGAACTCATCCACAATATCCACATTGACCTCCACAAATATCCACCGCCCCCTGCCATCAGCTCCCGCGTCTCACACACACGAGCGCGACTTTAGCACTAGATTTAGCAACTTTCAGACCGTTTTAGCGGCTTTTTTCATAGCGGCTTTAGCGGCTTTTTTCCATAGAATATTCATACTGACAAACCTAGC